TTAAATAATCAAGAAACGAATTTAAATATCTTATGGAAAGCCGGAGGGGCGGTTAGAAAGCCCGCAGCGCGATCGGGCGGGCCGCGGCGGAACTAGGCGCGCGGCGCGACATGAGGCACGGGCGGTTTGCCTACCTGATAGATTGCAGGATAATTATTGGCGGCGCGAGCGGCGCCAACATCTGATAAGACGGGTAGTAGTACATTCGCCGAGTCATCAATTCTCGGCGGATAGCCATGTACTGGTGCGTCGTTTGGACACCTACTAACACCTACGTGAAAAGTTCGGGAGGTGGATTGCTAGCTGAAATGGCCCGCAACGTGACTTTAAAGAAAGCAGGTGGTTTGCTTCCGCAGTATACCTATGCTGCCGTGGACGGGCGCCAATTAAAGTTTGCGTCGAAGGGTGATTTTGGTCACACCTGAGTCCGCCTCGAGATAAAACCGAGGAACCGGGCGCGGGTGGTGGGGTGGGAGGTCCTTCTTGTCCTCCGCGCGGCGCTTCTTAGCTGCTTTAACTGCGTTTTAAACCCTCATGCAGATGGACTTGCGGTGTTCTATCTCCGGGATGAGACACGTCCTTATTTAGAGCACTTGTGCCGTGATCATTTGGATAATTAGAATCTTAGAATGGACCATTAGACAAGGTACGAATTTAAGCGATCTGATACATGTTACTTAACCAGAATTTAGCGTAGAAAACGATTCACACAACGAAAATTACGGAAACCAACTCCTAACGAAGATATTAACGTTTTTATTTCGCACTGATTGCGAGGAATTTGAACTGCCCGCTCACAAGAAACTCAAAACTCTACGTGAGTCAAATCGCCCACTTACAACGGTTTCAGCAAGCTTCTCAATCGAGCAATGTTCATTTCCCATCATGTGTTGTTCAAACTATTAGCAATTTGCTATAACTGAGCCAAACCGTTAAGATTGAGGTTGCCAGATTTTTATATCGCAGAGACTGTCATGATAACGTTTAACGCGCGATGTGAATCACGTAGAGCATTGAGTTTTTATGAGCGGGTGGTTTGAATTCACGCATTAAGAATCATTAAATATCTTCGTAAGGAGTTAATTTCGGTAATTTTCGTTGTAAGCATCGTGTTTTACGTAAAATTTTGGTTAAGAAACATGTATCAGAATGCTGAAATTCGTACCTTATCTAGTGGTCCATTATTCCATGTTATTTTCATACCGTTGAATTTTAGCTTACTTAAGTTGAGCTTAAATTTAGTATCTTTTTTTGTTTTTAAAAAAAGTCGCAACTTTATAATATTGTTATATTATAGGGCAACCCCTATAGAGGGTATTTTAATATAGTATAAGCACTGTCCTCCCTCCCCACAATAGGAGGACAGTGATTATACAGTAAATATATATAAAAATGTATAGAAATAATTTATATAATTATTAATAATTAACATTATTAAATATATAATTTAGATTTAAATATTTACTAATGTTAGTAATAGAGAAGGAGAGGTAGAATAATATATATATTTCCTATTAGTGCTGGATACCATAATAGATTCTGCTAACGAATGGATGCCAGATGACATTTTGTCTGCGACAGTGGAGCGAGTTAGCTAGTAAATCGTCACATGCAGCTAAGATCTGGTACATCATAAGAGAGCTGGGAATGTAGGTACTCTTACTGTAACGTCCATAACCTTCAAGAGGTGAGCGAGTAAAAAGTTCGAGAAGCGAATTAGATGTTTCATTAAATTTTGGCGCGGAGGTGTCTTTCTGAGTGGGTGCCCCCGGTTTTGATTTTGAGAATTTGGGCTTATTTGACTCGGAATCGACGTCTCTGGTTGAGGCTATCTTTTTCAGGATTTCGACTTTTACGCCGTTGGTTTGGCCTTGGGTGGTCAAGCCGGCATTATCTGAGATCGTAGCATGTTTCTCAACAGTTGATGCCATCTTAAGATTGTTGGTCTAAATTCTTGATGAATTAGGACAAACTAATTAAGATATGTTTGAAACTAAAGGTCGCTGTGAGTAGGTTTTGATGATAGGTCTAGGAAACGCTAAGACACTATTTCCTCGCACTATTTCGTCGCAATCTGAGCGGGAAATTCAACTTTTTGAAATGTTTTGAATTTCGTCAGTTGAAGGTATTGTAAAAGTACTGGATTATTTGGGAACGTACTGAAAAAGTACTATAAAAGTACTGTTAAAGTACCGATTTCTGGCCAGCCTGTTTTAGTAGACACCTGAGTTGAGAAACTGCGGCTAAAAGACGGTATCATTGCTGAGTTTCATGATTCAGAAATTTTGTTCTCTATAGGTACAGGAGAGCCCTTGTGGAGTTTTTTATCACAATTTGGTAGGGCCATGCTTGAAGCGGAGTTCAGTTACTCAGTAAACGCAGTTTCCTCATCTGGCGATGTCATTAGAGCCTGTCAAAAATATCAATTCAAACAGGTCCCAATTTTGGCATTTTAAACAGGTTTTCTTTGCAGATTGGGATTAAAAATACCAGCGCTTCACTTTGCTCATTGTAACAAATGAAAATTATGACTAAAAATTATAATTACCGTTTTCTATACAAGTTCGACAATATTCTTGGCATGTCCGGTTGGCAATCCGTATGTTACTGTAATTAAAAACATCAATTCTTACATTAATACATAGAAGAGAACAAATCATTTATACTGAATAAAATGAGTCATTCCGAAAAGACAAGATTTATGCGGGACATGAAACTGCAGGACTAAAAAATCAATCATTTTTCAGAGCCTCACTTTTATTTCAGTTTCCGTTGAGCAGAATGCAGGAAGTTTTTAGCAGTCCCATGCTAAAAACCCCATTCTCCACAAAATATTACCTAATTAGTAATGATTTTCTTGTTATGCTCATTAGTCACAAGATGCCAATTACTTACTACTGAAACAAGTCGTTTGTGCAATTGGCTGTTTCGACACCCTTGTGAAGTCAAAATCAGCCTGTTCAACTTTTCATCCTACAAAAGCGGATGGAAAGTTGGATACAACAAAATTTTATTCGACACCAACCTCTGCCTATAAACAACACCTAAAACCTCTACCTAGGTATGTAAGTCTGTACATTAGGAGAAAATGCAAACTTTAAGTTATAAGTCATTGCTTTCCCGCAGGTTGATTCATGCATTCAAGTCTTATTTGATACATTCTGGGTTCATTAATCTTCACGATTGCTCTTGAGAGACAGCACATGAATCCTAGTTTGCAGGAAAATAAGGTCAAGAATTGTTACTCCCTAGTAGCAATTTTTTGTTTTTTTTACATAAAAAAAAAAAAAATAATTTCCACTCAACTGGACGACTCGTTGTGAGATAATTTCGAAGTCGAAGGAGTGGACGTGACTCGGTTCTCTTCCGTGGCGTGGCGTGAATTGCGATATATCGATTGATTCGCCATTTAAACCTATGGAAAAAGATCGATTATCAGGGCGTTCGCAGCGAACACCTTAGTAATCGATTCTTTACTGTAGCTCCAAATGGCGATATATCGATAATCGATCCTTCACGCCACGCCACTGGTCCCTTTGGTTATTTTTTACTACTTCGGTAATAAATACCCATTGAATATCATCATCTCAAAATTTTAGTATTTATTACATTTTTACTCAGTAACAAATATTTTTAATAATCAATTTGTTATGTTATCCTAGAACCAAAACAAGCACAGTCTGAGATATTTGAGAAAACTAATTGGGGAAAAAAAAATGTCCTCAATTTTACTGCTTTTATTTTCTCTCAAGCTGATTTTCAGAAAAAAAATCATGCTTGCTCACCTGTCACAATACTTAGATTTCTGATCGAGTTGAAACTTTATCTACTCGTTGTAGAGTAAAATTAAAGTACAGCAAAACTTAAAATCCCGAAGTTAAATCGTATTTCTGTAATTAAATTAAATGTAATGCTTGACAAGCTCGTGTAATCGTCGTGTTATTTTTCAAGTCTGCGATGCTTCATTATTATATAATACATAATTTGAACATATGACAGGAAGTTAGGCAACGTCTGACGCAGTTCGACTAATTCTGTTAAATCTACTGTAATAGTCACGCATAATCTTCAAGAAGTAATTTGAACGCTCGCTCACAAAAAACATTCTTGCAGCAGCTTCAGCTCGGCTGCACGCGAGAGCAGCGCTTTTATCTCAGCGAAATGTTTCTTTTGTTTTTGTGGTAAAATTAAACATATCAAGGCCTTAAAGGTCACCGAAGATAGAATTCCTTGGTTGTGTAACACAACTTGTGTTACACAACAACTCGTGTTACACAACAACTCGTGTTACACAACAACTTGTGAACACAACTTGTGTTCCTTAAACAGTTCCTCACCTTAGAGAGTTCTCGTATTCTGTAATTATGGTTAAACATGGTTGGAGAAGGCCTTAAACGTACCATCATGAGTAACCACTTTGCGAACCTCGAGTAAACTGCATTTCAAGCATCGAGAAAAACTGTTGGATTATTAGAAATTCCATGTCATAATTTCTGGGCGATACTTTTCGCTGAGCCAGGAGGAATATTGTTTTGAATGGTATTTTTGTCATTTTGAAGAGATTTCCAGATGACTCAACTAAAATTCTCGTCTGGAAATTTTTTACTTTTGACGGCGAGTTAGGTTGATACCTGCCATGGCAGATAATTGTAATCCTTCGTAAGAATCAACCGCATAAGTTGAACTGTTGAATTTTACTCAACTTTCGCCAAAAGGGACCGAGTTTATCAGAAAGAACTAACCTACATTTTCGGAAAAATTGATGTAAGATTGTTTTTGAGTTTCACTAGTCGTATATTTTTTACTGCCGAAAACTTAACGTCGTAAAAACATTCGTCTGGGAAGAGAGGGGCTAAGTTTATTTTCTAAACTGAATCTTTATAATAATAAAACCTCTTTTTCTCAGTTTCAACTTTGTGGGTCGGTTCCCCCCTGATAAACCCTTTCCTAAATTCGATACTTTCAATGGGTTTAAATGAAGGACAGCTTTGCAACATCAATTTTCCTCTTTTTAAATGTATTTAAAAATATCGATATTTGAAACGGATTTGAATGGAGGATAATGGTGTTTCCAACTTGTGAAACCGCCTCTGCCTTATGTTTTCTCCCCGACTATGTCACATCATGTTACATTTCGTAGAAAATATAGTCTTTCGTTCTGAAACCGTATTCATCGGCGATGTAGCTGATCCAATGAAGTCGGTTGTCCGGGTAGAGCACCGTGTAGCCTCCTTGTTTCACTAAGACCAGTTGTCCCTTGACTCTCTTGTAGTATCCCTGTTCTATGCGCGGGTAGCCGCTCGCGTCCAGGTATCTGGAAAACATTTAATTCGAGACAAATCAATTTATCATCACGCGAAGGTTATTGAACCCTGCGTATGGTCGACGGGATTTCTTTAAAGACATTTTAGGTCAAAGAGAAATTATGAAAGTGTCGAGGAGATAGGTGGACGAAATGACCGTGAATAATAAAGAATCGACTTAGAAATTATCCTACACAATTTAAACCCAAACTCGAATTTAAATTCTATCCGACACGAATATATTTTAGTTTTTATGGTCCAAAACTTTCGATGTTACTTAGTGCTGCTAGAATTTCAGCTATTAACCTCGTTTTCAGCAGTATCAATAGCGACTTCAACTTGCCCGTTCCATCCTGATTTGCACCCTAAAAAACCTTAATTCACTCCTTAAGCCATAGCCGCAGCCCCCCCCCCCCCCCNATGACTAGTGGGCTGATAATTGAAATTGATAGACAAAGCGATAGACACATAGGAGACAGGAGAACAATGGGGCGGTCCTATTGGTCGAAGCGGGCGGTTGGAATGGGCAAAGGAGCTGAGTAATTGACTAACAAATGACAACTCACGAGAGACCCCATAGTTGGTCCATCATTTCCTCCCTTAGTCCATAAGAACCACCCATCTCTAACAATAGGATCGCTCCGTACTCCTCGTGCCATCTTTGTCTATAGCTTTGTCTATCAATGTCAGGAAGCTGACCGCTGATTCCGATCTGGCGCCTCGCAGTAACGTAACAAATCGACAGTGTAACTACCAGACCACGTATCTCGTTTGGGGGGTTTATGAATCACCGCTCACATTTTATTTACTTGAAAGAACACTGGAGAAAAAAAAACACTTTGGATCTAGAGTCCAGACTCTTGAAAACATTAACAAGAAAAAGGACTCTTGTTTCAATCAGATTTAAGATAAAATCAACAAGAAAATCAGCTCAAATTAAGAGGCTTGGTTCTTGATTTAAGCTTAAATCTGATTGAATCAAGAGTATTTTTTCTTGTCGATGTTTTTAAGAGTCTGGACTCTAGATGGACTCTGTGTTTTTTTTTCCAGTGAGGAAAAATCAATATCATTTTCTGAAACTTCAAAGAGTTTCCTTCGCCTAGCGAGGCTGAAAAACGGAATTTTTCAGGAACTGACGTAGAGTAGATAGAAGAAAAGTCGTTTGGATCTAGAGTCTAGACTCATATTAACATTGACAAGAAAAAATACCCCTGATCCAATTCGATGTTTCCTTGAAGTGAAGAGCCGAGCCTCTTGATTTAGGCTGATTTTCTTTCAATTCAAGCAAAAAATCCGATTGAATCATGAGAATTTTTCCTATTTAATAGTGTACACAGTTTTCATTCATAAAATGAAGTATGACAGGAAGCACTGGTAAAAAAATAAACACTGGATCTAGAGTCCAGACTCTTGAAAACATTGACAAAAAAAAAAGGACTCCTGATTCAATCAGATGTAAGCTTAAATCAAGAACCAAGCCTCTTAATTTGAGCGGATTTCCTTTTGATTTAAGCTTAAATCTGATTCAAGCTAGAGTCATTTTTCTTGTCAATGTTTTCATGAGTCTGGACTCTAGATCCAATGTGGTTTATTTTACCAGTGAGCCTACGTCGTGAACTGAGATACGTGGCCTGGTAATCTAAATGGGAAATTACTCACTGGTAGTAGTAGCCCCCGTTCTGGGCGTAGTTTGGCTGTGGTGTAGTCGCAGATGTTGCCGTTTCTGTCGTTGTTGATGACGTCATCGGTGACGTCATTTCCGTCGTGGTCGTTGCAGGAGTCGCGGTCTCGGCACTCGTCATCGTATCGACGTTGTTCCCACTCCACCACGACCCGTCTCCGGATGACGTCACGGGGGTGGTCGACGTCCATGACGTCACTGGGGTCGTCGATTGGTACGACGCCGGTTGCAGTGATGTGGTAGAAGGAGTTGTTGGTGATGTCATCGTGTATCCGCTCCACCAGCTGCTCGCCGTGCTCGATTGGGTCCACCATGTTTGGTCGCTTTAAGAAGTCGAAAGAAAGATAAGACATCTGCTACATGAATGCGTGAATTTAAAATGAAGTTAATTTAAGGTAGAAGTCGGCGAAATAAGAAACAGTTTGAAAATGAACGCATTTTTATGTTGAAGCTAGTTAAGGTTAGTTTGTTGACAAGTCATCGATGTCTTACCTTCTGTTGAGAAATGAAGTGAACAGATTGAATGATGGTCGTGAGTATGAAGAACATTCCTAATTATTCTCGGAAAAAATATTTCGTCGGGAGAGACGAGGCAACGTTGGAATGCTCTTACGGTGTGTGAACACAACATGGGCCATTTATGCTCTATATTTCGATGCCGCGATTTTTCTAACGCAAGTTCAAATAATCGCGCCAAACACAGTGCGGCCGGCGTTGAACGTACACTAGCGCCCGTAAGAGTGTAGGAATACTTCATGCATTGCGCCAAACAGTGCGGTTGGCGTCAAGCCCATATTAGCGCCTACAAGACTGCATGAATACTTCTTGCCTTGCGCCATACGCAGTGCAGTCAGTTCGCGTGAAATGTACAGGCTGGGGCTAAAGTCCCGGGACGGCTGAATATCTTTTGAACGGATACTGGTGGAGAGTTGAAATTTTGGGTATGTCCCTTGAGTGAAAAAACAATTTGTTGGGTGGGTCAAAAGTTTGACTCCTCCCTCCAGGGGGCCCCCTGCCCCGCGAACATCAGATTGCATCAGATTTGGCTCATCAATTTTTGCCAACATTTCCAATGCCACAGTTTCACTGTCCTCGTCACTGTAATTCCTACGAAAAAAAAGCGTTGTGTATGGCAGCTGCTATTCGTAGATCCGTAAACAAATGAGGCACTTGCTGAGATGCAACTACGTTCTTAAAATGCTTGAATCGTTTTAATCTATTAGTAACGACCTCCACGACCCATCTCTGCTTTGTGCAAATGTGGCTTAGATTTGCTTCCTTTGTAGTCAGCTGAGAATTTCCTTTTCTTAAGGAAGGGATTGACACTATGAAATTTTTTTCCTCAAGTTCCGCTTTCACGCTATCGATGTTTACTTTTTGCAGGCAAAGACCCCCTCGGATTGAGCAGGCAAGATGGCTGCGTGGCGCGACGGGAACTCAGAGCAGTTCGAGCTCTCTCCTCTCTCTAACCAATACCTACTCTAACCCATCCTATCGTCTGCCGTCTCCCCACCTTATCCATCCAAATAATCATGTTTCCAATAATGTAAAATGAATCAGTGAGTTCGGAAACACCCCAACACGGGTTTTTTTCGATTTTCACTTTTTCACGGTTTAGTAACACTTATGGATAAGTAGAAGCATCTGCACGCAAAAGGATTTTTCGAAATTACAATCGGAAGTGCTCGAAACGGCGACGGGAAAAGGGAAGAATCGAAGAATTTCATTGGAAATACCAATTTTTGGCCGATCAAGGGAAACGGGCGACTATCCGATGCGGTTTTATTTTTTCGGTTCAGTATACCTTGTGCCAACAAGTTATATCAATATTCAAGCGTTATTCAGGTCAAAAAATATAAATTTTTCAGGGCAGACTTATGAAAAATCAGTATCTGAAACTTGGTGCGTTAAAGTCTCTAGAGTACTTCTTGCGTCCTTTGGCACCAAAAAAGTTTTTCTTAAACTAACTTCTTCGCCCGCTGCGAAGTTTTAGGTGTTTCCTGAAAATTTTTTTTTCCGAGTTGATGTATTTTCGAACTCACTGATTCAAATGTCATCTTAGGTACCTAATGCTATATTTATGCTCCCATATTTCACCCCTTGATGCCTGACTGGTAAAATTCACCACTTTTTGGATCGTTATGTACCTACTTTTGTAGGTATAAGTTATTAAAAGCAGAAATGTGCAAAGATATTTTTTTAGCAAATTTTTCAAGAAATATGCTAAGTGCCTCGTTACCTTTAACAGGATGTTTCCCAGAAGTTGTACCATCGTGCCACAAAAAAAATTTATAAATTTGTGCGAATGCTGAGTTAAATTTTTAGCTTGATGGTTCATCTTCACATGGAAATATTTTTGGTAGAATTACAAATTCCACAATGAAAGTCTAGCAACACAGCTAACTTAGCAAAAGCCCTCATATTTCTTGAAGTCAGGAGAGGGTAATATTTCTCCCCCCTCCTCCTAACTAGTTCCCCCAATGCTCCTGAAAACATCTCTGCTGAGCGCAAAAATCCTCAAACTCATCCCTCATCATCTGGCATCCCCATGGCTCAGATATAAATGAAGCCCCTCCCCCCCTTATTCTCCATCAAAATTCAAAATGTAAGTAGGTACGTTTAGAATTTGATTTCAATGCCTCAGAACGCTGCGGGGCCCCCACACAAGCTTGTGATTTCTCCAGATATGCTAAAGATTTTCCCTCCTTAGGTAATCCTTAAATTATATCAGAAAAATGTCTTGCCAAAGAATTTTGAGAATTGCCCTGGTTAGTACTTGGTTTGAACTCTTTTAGAAATTTAATCCCGATCAAAAAGGTCAATTCCCTGAGCTGAGCAGTTTAATTTTTCTCCGAGAGTGAAATTTGTGCTTGGCGCCATTATGTGATGTGCAAAGAGTAGAGGAGAGGAGAGAGTAACAGAGTATAATCATGGAGTCCGAGCGAGCTTCATGCACGCTTCACCAGCTACTCCCGCTCTGTGATCGCCTGCTCATTCGTAGGGGGTCTTTGCCTGCAAAAACGCTCAATCCACGCTATCAAAGCCCCGATCAAGGACAAAACAATCACCGGCTTTGATAAACTTCTTGAAAATTGGTATTTTCATCACATGTTTCATTATATCAGCATCAGAGGCTGTTCCTGGCCATAAACTTTCAGGGCCGAACACATCTAAAATATAGCCATTACTAGAAGTCACAACCATCGGTTTTAGAAAGTTTCTCTTCTTCTGACCGCTGTAACTACGGCGCTGAAAGTGGAAATTGTTGCTTTTATTAAGAAAAAGGTAGGTGCCATCCCAAATGGTTATCACTCTATCCTCTCCTTGCTGAATACGATTCCGTGTTTTAGCTATATCTGAGGTCTCGTCAATAATTTTTTCTCTGGAAAATTGTCCCAAATACAAAAAAAGAAACAATTCATTAAGCACGGTTCTTGCCTCAGATATGTAACGACTCACAGTTGACCGATGAACATTCAAAATATTTCCAATTTGTTTCTGAGTCAATCCAGAATAAACATGCATCATGAAATACCCGCTTTGTTACCACCGTCATCGCTGGGAAAATTCGCACTTAAATCGTTAAACTGCTCTCGAGATAATCCGGTCCAAACTTTTAAAGTTTTATCACATAAATTTTTGTTTTCGACACGTTATTCTCATTTTCTATCAGTTTCTTTTGGAACTCAAAAATAGTTTGAAACAAACTGTCTATTCCGCCCTTGGTAAAAACAGAATTATCCACGCCTATTTTTCTGATTTTCGATCAGTTACTTTTGGAACTCAAAAATAATTTGAAACAAATTGTCTATTTCGGCACTGGTAGAAACAGAATTTTCCACGCCTATTTTTTTTGCACACTCAGCAACGTCTTCATCTTTTAAGGTGTCGTCAACAAAATGACGCGAACAGCATTGGCACCCTTCGGGAATTACAAGTTGATGTGTGTTGAGAACTTTTTTTTTATTTTTATTTATTTATTCTTTTGCTTTTTGCGCATTTGGCTTCACAAAAACGTCATTTTCTAAATAAAGGTACTGATAAGTATAAACATATTTACATAAAAATCGTCTTAAATTCATTCATTGACATTCAAAAATTCATTGATTGAGTACGGGCATTTTGCAATCAAATGTCTTGTGGCCAGCTTACCGAATGTTGGTCTTCGACCCGCGCATTCTTGCGAATATACTGAAGATCGTTTGACGATCCGCACCCAAGCACGCAACGATCATGGAAGTTCAGTGTTCGTTTAAAGCAAGTTAACTAGACGCGAATCTCCGGATTTGATGTTTCACCACTCTGTGGATATAGTAATGAAATGAAGTAACAGGATGTGGATGTTGTATGAATTTATTGTTAAAAAAATAGTCTTAAACCTAAGCATTGGTTAAGAGCTAGTAATTGAGAACCATTAAACAAATTGTAATTGATACCCCAGATGGGGTGGTTGTACATCTTTTTAATTAATAAAAAAAAACAAAAAACAAAAAACAAAAAAAAAAAAAAAAAAAAAAAAANAAAAAAAAAAAAAAAAAAAAAAAAAAAAAAAAAAAAAAAAAAAAAAAAAAAACAGGTCGCTGAGTATGTAAAATTTAAAAATTTAAATTTACGATAATTTAAAAAACTTTTAAAACAATTTATAAACACTCACTTGCATAAACTATTTCGCGAAAATTTAACAAAAACAGAGGACTGTTATTCACCGCACCGTTTAAATAAAAAGATGGCACATCGGAGAACACGACGTTCTTGAAACATTCAGGGTCCTCATCCTTCTCCCGAAATTGTTCGCAGAATTCGACTCGATTGGGATAATCGTCCTCTTTCAATTCTTGGACCGAATGACACTTGTAAGGGTAGTATTTTTCCTCATTTAAGACACGGCGGACAGATCGCGTATCTGTTTCGGTGCTCTGCGCGGTCCTACGAGTTGGAGTTCGCGGATTCTCGACGTAAGTTAGCAGAATTTCTTCCGATTTTTCGGGAGACCTTCACAAGACCATTTTCCCAAAATCTTTCCACGGCTCTCCCTACAGTGGACTTAGAGATTGGAGGCCTACCCACAAATAAATCTTTGAAAATATAACGCACATTTTTCTACATCTCATGGAAATTCTAGGTGAGAATTGAGAACCTTTTGAGCGCTTAAATTTATTCACTCTTTTTAAATTTTCATACTAATTGTACAGACACTGTCCTCATACTGTTATTTTACTCATAACTCTTAATACGAATGCTCAATACTAATTCACTCTCTCTGACTAAATGTTCAGTATGTTTTGGTAATTTGAATAATTTATACATCATGGTATGTAGTTGGGAAGGACCTCATCCGAAATCGGCCACTTCCAACCACAAACTTATCTTAGAAAATATTGTCAGGGTCTTTTGGTTCCCGAGTTCAAAATAGTCAAGATTTTTTTAATAAGATAAATAGGATGGAAGAGGTCAAAATTAAATTTTTAAAATGCCATACCTTGT